TTGAAAACTCTAACTTCTTGCCTTCGATTCTCCTTGCTCAAGTATGATCTCAATGAGTTATTGGATATTTTGGAAAGCTTGTAACATCCTATACAACATATATATTGGACATTTTTGAATATTCATCTTGGAACTATGTGAAAAATTGTCATGAAGTTAAGTCAAAATCCTGCCTAAACTAGGGCCAAATTTCACTAAGTTTTTCAAGTTTCATGAACATGTCTTCTTAGAATCATAACTTGTAATCCATGCATTTCTAGAAAAAGTTTTGTTCTACAATGTTTTAGATCTCATTGATATATACAACTTTCACGTTGGAAGTTTCTCTTGAATCATCTTGCATCATGGTGAAAATTTGGCTCAAAGTTATGAAAAAAAAGTGAATTTCCAACACTTATAAAAATTTCTAAGTTTAGAAATTTTGACTTTTCAAAATGAAATCTTGACTTTTTGATTTCTTGATGAAAAAGTTTCATATTTTGACATGTATTGATGAATTGCGATCTTTGGAACTTGATTTTGATCAAAAAGTCAAAGTTTGACTTTTCAGTGTACAATTGACTTTGCATCAGTTGACTGAAAATCAACTATCAATCAATTGATCTTGAGAGATGTTTTGAGCCATGCCATTAGGTCAAAATGAACTATTTTAACCATTGAGATCATAACTTAAACCAATCAATCATTTTCTAGGTCAAAAATAAGAAATTACACCTTCTTAGTCAAAACCCTAATTTTGACCATTTTGCCCTTTTGATGATCTGATCAAATTTCTTGTGGAATTGTGGTCCAAATTTGATCAAATGACATATATGAGTTAATGATGTTGATATGGATAAAAAATTATGAAGTTTGACTGTAAATTGACCACAATTGACTTTTTTCCCAATACAGGTGATTTTAGGTCAACTAAGCAATTGACTGAGCAAAAATGTCATCCAAGACTTGAAACTTGACATGAGCAATCTTGAGGGTCCAAAATGATCCATGAAAGTCATTTGGGGCATTAAAAGTCCATTTGTCCTTGTGCAAACGCAAACCTTAATTTTCAGTTATCAGTGCTTGAGGAGGTGTCTTGAGCTGATCAAGCCTTGGGCAATCTTGAATCAAAGGAGATCTTGTGAGAGATTACTTGATAAATGAGAGGGAAAATTTTTGGGTACAACAGTATGGCATCCTCCTCAGCCTCCTTTGTGTTACGGGTATCTCGCCGAGGGGCGTCGCCACGCCGATATTGCCCGAGTCTTCCCCCTTTAATGAGGGTTTCAATAGAGTCTTTAAGATGGACACAATCTTCATTCAGGTGTCCATGTCTTCGGTGATACTGGCAGTACTTGCTCCGGTCAGCCTCGGGCTTAGCAGGAGCAGGACAAAGACGCCTGACGCCGTCGTCCTTGAAATCAGTATTAGCACACTCCGCCAAGATGCGCTTGCGGGAAGCTATCAACGGAGTGTACTCAGTAAATCACCTTGCGGGCCCTCTTTGCTCGCGAGGATCCTGTGGTTTGTCATCCCTCCTCTTCTCGCCCGTTCATCGAGGAAGGCCTGAATCTTGTTGTCCCAGATTACTAGTTGATCCACGATTCCTTGGGGCCCGGGCTCTATTGGCCGCTTCCCTCTCCTCATAATCCATATAGGTCCTAGCCTTTTCGAGGAGAGCATCGAATGTCCGTGGTGGTTCGACGCCAACAGATTTTCTGAACTCCATGCCCGGGAGGAGTCCCCTCTCGAGCATGTATCTCTTCATATGATCGGTGCAAGGGACCTAAATTGCCTCGCGGTTGAACTGGTCAATAAACTCCCTGAGGGTCTCGTCGCTTCTCTAGACGATGGCCTTAAGGGCTTCCTCAATCTTCGAGTGTCGACGTGAGACAGTGAATGAGCTGATGAACTGGGTTTTCAAGTTTTTCCAGGAGGTAATTGACCCCGGGGAGAGGTTCTTATACCAGTCCATCACAGTCTTCCTTAGAGTCGTGGGGAACAACCGACATTTGATCGGTCCTCCGACGTTATAATAATACAGCATTGCCTCGAACTCGTCGATATGGTCAACTGGATTGGCAATGCCGTCGTACTCCATAATAGCCTAGGATAGGAGACCGCGGGGGTCGTCTTCGTCGCTTCTATCTGGAGATCGAGAAGGCGACCTATTGTAATGGCGGTCATGATGACGGCCCTGGTCGCGGGGAGGATCTCTCGCCCGGTGTCGTTGTTCGTCATTCCCCCTGTTTTTGTTTCCAAAGGGTCTCCTCTATTGGTGTGGGGGAGTGTGATCACGTCTCCCCGTATCAATGGGTTGATCCCTCTCCAACGCAGGGCGTCACCTGGTTCGTCAGGGAGAGGGGCCTCGAGAGGCATCCCGTCTGCGTCTCTACGGAGGAGATTGGGGACGGTCCTCTATCTGACGCACAGGAGGAGAATCAGGCCTCTTGTGTCTTCTGGGGGCTCTTCGAGAATCATTGAGCACCCTTAATCTCTCACCTTGTGAGAAGATTAAGTAATTTGTTTAATTTATAGCCACGAACAGTGCCCTGGTCGTGGCACCAGCACTCACAGGAACTGGGACCTCCTGGAACTGGTTCGGTTGGTAGTTCTGAGGAGGACAATGATCATCCTCGAGTCGTCTGGACAGTGATGACGATGAGGCATCCAGTCCATCTCTATATTCCGAGGGGTCGGGCATGTCAACGGCGTGGCCGTTGTTGTTGTTGCTAGTATTTTATTGTTACCGGTGTTGAGGCCAGTGGGACCAGCGTTGTTGATATCGGTGTTGTGGTCGGTGATGTTATTGTTGACATCGACGGGATGGACATTCAGGTTGTTTTTGCCGTGAGATCAACCATGACAGTAAAAAAGGAGTTGGATTAGCTTTTGTCTTGGACGAATGAAAGACGGGGAAGCTGTGTTTCCCACAGACGGCGCCACTGATCGTACCTGACCAGAATGGACCATGACAACTTACGTCGAGCAGAACTTGAGAGTGAGGTGGAGGAGGGGAGGTACCTGCAAGACACTCTGATGCCAAAGTGAGATTCAGAATGAGCAAGCAAGTAAGAGAGTGAGAAATGTTCAATACCTAACCCTCTCGAAAGAGAGGGTATTTATAGCCCCCAGTGTTGGGCCAAGGTCTCCTCATTGGGCCGGTCAAGCAGGCCCAAAGTGGAGACTGTCAGGTCCTACATGAGTAGTGGGGACCAGCAGGTGGTCCCCCACCTGGATGACTTCCTCCGCAAGATTATGAGGATATGGATGCGGTCTTTCCGGAGCCACAAAGACTCCGTGATATTCAGAGACATTGATAGTCAGCCCTACGAGGAGGATGGTCGTGAGGTGCTTCTGCTCGTCGTAGATGTTTCCCGCCATACGCAAGGTCGTGTGAGGGGACCAGTCTTGGTCACGAAGAGGATCAGAAGATGACCTCGAGGTCCTCCTGACCGACGATGATCTTCCTAAGACTAACTGGGTTTATCCCCGTGTGATGAGGTTGTCTCCTTGCGAGGAGTGGAAGTTGCTGCCCGAAACAGCCAATGACAGAACTGGCCAGTATGCCTTGACCGACATAATTGGGTTGGGCCTCACATGGAATTAGGCAAGGACAGGCCCAGTCCAAAACAATTTTAGTAGGAATGCAACTAATTACTACGTGGCAAAACACACACCGTACAACTTTTGCGACACAAGACACATCGAGAAGTATGTACAATTTTAAAGTACAATAGATCTTCTATGTGTGATTTAACCAACTTTATAATTTCATTAACTAATATTTTATATTTCATTAAACAACTTTATTTTACTACTAAAAATTAACTTTAATATCTGATCGTTTATTAACCAATTTCATATTCTCATTGATCAATATTTTATTTTTTATTAACCAACTTTGTTTTGTTACTATTTTTTTTAATATTTGAGCAATTATTAACCAACTTCATCATTTCATTAACTAACATTTTACTTTTCATTAATTAATTTTGTTTTAATACTAAATTATTTTTAATATTTAGACATTTATTAATCAACTTCATCACTTTATTAATCAACTTTTTGTATTTCATTAACTAATTTTATTTTACCACTAAAAATCAATGTGGATATATTATTCAGAAACATTATTTACGACACTATTCACAAATATAATGTTTATTAAAAAAATATTTTTTACCGTATAAATATAAATATAAATATAGTAAACAGTACACATGTGTAAGTAGTAATGTCATTTATTAGTGTCAACATAGCATATCTGTTAAAAGTTCGAACCTTGCTACTTGTATCCTTGAGCACATGTTTCAACAATGTAGTTTTATAAATTAGGACATCCTTATTAAATTCTAGATGTATGTATTTATGTTTAAAGTTGCATACAATTTTTATGATTATACATGTTTTATATATATAATTTTCCATATAACTGATAATTTGGTCATTTGAGTGTGATCTATGTCCTATAATCTCATTATATTAAATTACATAACAGATAGTTTGGTCATTTGAGTGTGATCTATATCATATAATCTCAGTATATTAAATTATATAACAGAAAATTTGGTTATTTGAGTGTGATATATATCCTATAACTACATACAGGTTCAAAAGTATGCTTAAACAAAAAAAAAAATCAAGATTAAAACAAAAGGTTCAAAAGGCATTGCATATGCACTTTTTGTTGTCTAACCAGTTAAAAAGTAACAACTGTTATGTAAATCATGAACCCAAGTCACAACAATAATGAAGCAATGAGTGGTAGAAGGTTTTCTAGATGAGATCAATTTTAGATAAGTTCATTAGTTTAAGAGCTTGTTTTGTGCATCTTAATTAATAATACAAAAGTTACATTGTCATGTAGCCTAATACATCATCACATTGCTAATGAGTTGAAGAATTTTCAAGAGAGCAATGTGTGGCAACTTATGCTGTACAATTTTCTAAACATTACATCAATGAAAAGCATTCACATTCATTCATGATAGTGTTTAATCACCAATTACCCTTGTTTTTCACATAGAGTTTCGAAACCCTCTTCGGATCTTCCTTTGGAAAGGTTTACACGCCTCGATACTGAGGTCAACGGCTGCTGCAAGCGCCATGAAGATTGCAGCATCTTCCACGCATGTCACGTGTCGCAATGCCAGCTGGACTAACGGTTTGCTACGCTTTCCTTCACCTTGAACTCTACAGCTCATGACAAAACCTCCAACAACTGGACTAAGTGCGCCAAAGTCTCCGCTACTTTGTGGACTAGGAATTGGACTTGCCGCAGAAGTCACAGTTCTCATGTGTTTTTCGGTATCTATGAAAAACTCACCACCCTTTTCGGCATTTATATGTATTTCAGACATAAGAAAGTTGCCTCCGTCTTGTGGTTCGGATAGAAGATGAAATTTGCAGCATACAGTGTCTTTAATGCCGCGCTCGCGCCATGCTTCGAGTTTTCCCCACGGCTGCCAGCTCTCGGATCCACCAACATCGGGACGGACAATCAACCAAGCTCCAGGGTTGGATCTGGCAACCCAATCACAACCTGAAGATGGAACAAAGGGAGTTGTTATGAAGGCTGCAGCTACAGCTGAGCCAGATAGATCATGTATCTTCACCTTCCACCCTTTTCTCTCTCGCCTCCCACCGTTTAAGTCAGACGCATCGTTTGAACCAGACCAGTAAGTGCTCAGTGAATCCATCTGAGAAACCCTGTCTTTACTAAACTTACAACTGAAGATTGGCTGTTTGATTGATCCTTGCAGCAGAACTACCTGAGGACTGGATGACGTTATATCTTCGAACTGGAATACATATCTCGGGTCAGGATCTAGTTTAACTTTCAAATGTAATTCTGCACCTGGTTTTCCATTTTCCTGTTTGTTTTTGCGAATACCGATCCATCCGTTAAAAAGAATCAAAGGTTTTCCTTCACACCATTCAGGTCCAACCTGCATTTTAAAAACGCCAATTTGCTGTCTTTTGTTACTAACTCCACAATTTGATCCCTTCTTCCCTGAAAATACGACAATCTCCAAATAAGCATGAGGGTTATAGAAACAACCTGGAGCTAACAATGCTTTTAAATCGGATTCCTCGAGGTAAAAGCTTGAAGTGGTGTTCTGTGTATGTATGACATCGGCCGAGGTTATCAATGGGACTGGCGACGTTTGAACAGGAAAACCTCGAAGCCGTATCTCACAAACATAAGATGAAGAGAGTCTTTGAATTCCGGATTTTTCAGTGCTCAGTTCAATTCCGATATTTCTCAATCCCAGAGAGCCTATCGACAACCTAATAAAGGCCTGTGGATCCATATACTTGTCACAACAGTCTCATCATTGTATCTAAGACATTATTTTTGCAAAACAAAGGAACCCTGCAAAATAACATATATAAATTATAATCTTATCATGAGTAAAACAAAATAAAGGACTCACTTGTTCGATGACTTGGTCATCAAGGTTGCGATGACACGCCTAGAAAACAACTCTTGTTAAAAAGGCCCATGTGATGTTTGCCCAATGACAAGAGTTTGATATTTTAACTTCAAGGGACGGAACTCAAATCCCTCGAGTATGGTTGTAAAATGGTCATCAGTGTCACTTTAATTAATAATAAACCAGCTTATAAAGAGGAAAAAATTGTGTGAGCAATCTATTAAGTCACATAAGCTTTCTCAACCTTTAAAGAAAGATAGATGAAACAACATGAACATGAGAGTGAGGTGAAATTTGGTAGAAGAAAAAGAGAGCCAAACAACCTTCTTTTTTTCTCTTAAACATCTATTACATGTTTCAAAGTAAACCCCTTTTTCAATTGAATAATCAAATGACCAAGTCAACTAAACCAATCTAAACAAACTCTATAGAAATTCAACAAACTCAAGTACCCTAGAAATCAAGGAATTGAACCAATATTTAAGCAAATCAAGTACCTCAAATCCAAGCAGTTGAGAAACTTATGGAACAAATCTAAATGGTTGCAGAAGCAGTAAATTTATGATGAAGACAAAAAAACAAGTGAAAAATGTGTGTTAACAATCCAATCCAAACCATATATAGCTTAAAACAAAAGCAAGAAGTGAAGCACAAGAGCAAATCATGTATGAACATAAGAAAACAAAAGTCAAAGTCATAGTCAGATAATAAAGCGTGCCAGCAAATTGCAAATTGCAAACCCAACTCACAATAGTTTTCAGATAATGCACCAACCTTTTAAACAAACATATACATACATAGATACATACATATACATGTATAAAAAAAGTTAAAGTTGTAAGAAAAGAATTGATTTTTAGATGAAATAGAGAAAACCCAGATAAAAAAAAAACTAACCTTTTTTGCAGTGTTCATAGCCCAAAAGATGAAATGGGTAAAAAATTGATGGGTTGGGTGATGCTTGAAGAAGGGGTTTTGAAGAAGAAAAAGTAAAATGATAAGTGGATTATGGAGTAGTAACAGTTTGAGCTGAGAGTGGACGGATTACGAGGAGGAGAAGAAGAATTAGCGAAAAATCAGTGAGATGTTTGCGCTATTAATCTGTCTTTATTGTTGTGTTTGTTTCTTTCTGTGTTTTTTTTGGCTGCAAATGCTATGTAAGAGAGAGAGAGATATTGAAGTTACAAACATTGTCTTTTTAATTTATTAGTTTTTTCTTTTCTTTTTCAAAATTATTCTTTAATCAATATTTTCACTTGTTTTAAATAAATATATATCCACTATTTTTGTTCTTTATTTATATTCTTTTATGTACAATCTCACTGGTGGTTAATTTATGGTTAAAACGAAAATGTCTAATGAGTTTGTTAGAGTTTGTTGTCTCTGCACCCTTAACGTTGTTATTAAAGTCTGATGATGGAATACGACTAATTATTGTGGATTCTATTTAGAGACCGGTGATATTCAAGATTACTATGAAAAAGATCAGTAAAAATGTGACACGTTATCTCCATAACTTTCAGTTAGGGTTGGGGTATCGGATGGTGTTGAAGCCATATTTGATAGAGTGTTAAAGTTAGAACCCTAACAAGATTAGAGAAAGTTAGAAAATAAAAGACAATAATAGATAACTAAGAAAAATAAACTTCATTTCATTTGATTGATACTCTAAAATGTGCCAAAGACACTACATATATAATGATACTAATGGATCATTAAGTAAAAAGGCCAAATACAAATAAAGTCAAATAACCATGCTAATAATATAAATTCTATTATTACCCCCTATTAATAACAATACTAATAATATAAATTCTATAATACCCTTCCATCGTTGTTGCCAGGTTCACTTGAACCTTGTCCTCAAGGTTCTAAATCAAAGAGCAGACATAATAAATTCTTTTGCAATGTCACTACTCATGTCTATCATGAAATTACCAAGGCCAAAATGTGAGAATTACTTTTAAATTGTGAGATTGCAAGCCACTAACTTCTTCCATGAACCAAGCTGATGCTTCCGTGAGTTAATATGAACTCTCCAAGGGAAGGATCAAGTGTGAAACCATTCACTCCATATTGTTAAATTGTAATTCAGTGTGTCGAAACTATGTGTCGAAAAGATTTGATTTGTTTTAGATTTAAATAGATTTGATTTAAGTTTAGAATAAATTAAATTTGATTTAATAACAAAAAGATATTTTGGACTTTGGACTTAGGGTGTAAGCTCAGTTATAAATAGAGGGAGTAACCCCTATTTTTGTAAGCAAGTCAAGCAAGTTGTATTCACAGAATTTGCAGTTACAAGTGAATAACAAAGTTTTCACAGTTTGTGAGCAGAGAGAAACTCTGCAGAAATTAATTGTCTTGTTTTCTTTTCTTTGTTTTTCTCATAACTAATCGTCATTGGGGTAGAAATTCATCATAGTCTTTTGGGGGATTTCCAACATCTGGTATCAAGAGCTTTTGTTTCGATTCAATGGAAGTATCAATCAAGAACGATTGAAGAATTCATGATGACAAGTTATGGGAATGCAAACTATCCAGCAACGCTACCAATTCTGAAAGTTGACAACTATGAGAATTGGTGCAAACAGATGAAAGTCTTATTCAGGTGTCAAGGTCTTTGGGACCTTGTAAAAGATGGAGTCGAAGCGCTTGAAGAAAACGCTTCAGAAGAAGAAAAGAAAAAATACACAGAATCTGAGAAGCTGAGTTATAAAGCATTATTTATAATTCATCAATATGTCAGCCCAGACAATTTCGAAAAGGTTAGTGATTCAGAATCTACAAAAGAAGCTTGAGAAATCCTTGAGAAGTCTTTTGAAGGCGCTGAAAAGGTGAAAGAAGTGAGGTTACAAACTCACAAAAGGACGTATGAACTGCTTCAGATGGAAGACAGTGAAAGCATATCTGATTTCTTCACTAGAGTTACAAAACTAGTAAATCAAATCAAGATATGTGGAGAAATATTAACAACAAGAGTTGTTGTTTCAAAGATCTTGAGATCTTTAGCTTCTAAGTTCAACCATATAGTGGTGGCGATAGAAGAGGGGAAAGACTTGTCGAAATTGACAAAGGAAGAGCTTCAAAGGACGCTTGAATCTCATGAACAAAGAATGAATGAAAGAGCTGCAGGAAAATCGAAGAGTGATGTGGCCTTGCAGGCACATTCAACAAAAAAACCAAAGGTAAAGGAAAGTGTTTCGACAGAGGTAGAGGTGGCTACAAAAAATCGAATGGTAGAGGAAACCAGATCGAAGGAAACATGTCGAATCAAAGAAGGCCATACCAAGGCAACTAAAGAGGTGGTGTTGCAAATAGAGGAAGAGGTGGTGGTCGAAAACTTGATAAGAGTAACATTCAATGTTACAATTGTCAGAAGTATGGTCACTATTCGAGTGATTGTCCAGAAAAACGAAAGAATCGAGAAAGTGATGCAAAACTTGCAAAACATGAAGAAGAAGAAGAAGAAGAAAAAGAAGAGATGATGCTAATGGTCACAACAAAATATGAAGATAGATTCAAGGACCAATGGTACTTGGATTCAGGATGTTCATCACATATGTCTGGAAGGAAAGACTGGTTTGTCAATATAAAGCCCTCAATGAAAAATATGGTAAAATTTGAAAATGACAATATCCTAGCAGCTGAAGGTATTGGTGATGTTATGATTATGAGGAAAGATGGCAAGAGATCAGTAATTTCTAATGTGTTGTACATACCAGACATGAAGAGAAATTTGCTCAGTATAGGGCAGTTAGTCGAAAAGAATTATAAAGTGTCAATTGAAGATAAGATGATGAGAGTCGTTGATGCAAATAGGAGATTAATCTTGAAGTCTCCTATGTCTCAGAATCGAACCTTCAAGATTGAACTTAATGTGATGGAGCACAAGTGCCTTTCGAATGCAGCTAGCAGAGATGAATGAATATGGTATTATAGACTAGGTCATCTCAACTTCAGAGACATCAGAGATTTGAAGAGAAGAAATATGGTTTCAGGATTGCCAGAAATCGACATTCCAAATGAGGTATGTGAGGAATATGTGCAGGCGAAGCAACACAAGAATAACTTCAGCAAGGATGCAGGAAGCAGGTCGAAGGCTAGTCTTGAAGTCATATACTCTGATGTATGTGGACCAATCTAGGTGGATTCGATGGGAGGTAACAAATACTTTGTTACATTCATAGATGATTTCAGTCGAAAGTTATGGACTTATCTGATCAAGAAGAAAAGTGAAGTGATCGAGATATTTGCCAAGTTTAAGTCTATGGTCGAAAGACAAAGTGGTAGAAAACTCAAAGTGTTGAGAACTGATGGTGGTGGAGAATATGTGTCGAAAGATTTTGAAAGGCTATGTGAAAAAGAAGGGATTGTGCATGAGGTGGTGTCACCCTATACTCTACAACAAAATGGAATTGCAGAAAGGAAGAATTGAACCATCATGAATATGGTGAGAAGTATGTTGAAAGGCAAGAACTTACCTAAAGAGTTTTGGGGTGAAGTTGTTTCGACTGCAACATACATTTTGAACAGATGTCCTATAAAGAAGCTAGAAGGAATTACTCTAGAAGAATGTTGGTCTGGTGTGAAGACTAGCTTGAGTCATCTGAAGGTATTTGGATTTATTGCACATAGACATGTGTCAGATCAGTTGAGAAGAAAACTTGATGACAAATCAAGTCAAATGATTCTAGTTGGATATCATTCGACATGAGGCTACAAGTTGTTCGATCCAGTGAAAAAGCAGATTGTGATCAGCAGGGACATGATCATAGATGAGTTTAAAGAATGGGATTGGAATGAAAATGTCAAGAAAGATTCACTGGGAATCCTTCTTGAAGAGCCAAAAATTCAAGTCAAAAGAGAAGTTCGACAAGAGGAACCAACAGATATACCAAGTACAAGCAGGCCTCAAAGAACAAGATGCATGCCTGCAAGATTGCAAGATTGTATGATTATATCAGATGATGTAATAGATAATGAAGGTGAGCTGGTACATTATGCTTTCTATGCAGATGTCGAACCTGTTAATGCACCTGAAGCATTAAAGGATTCAAAGTGGGTGAAAGTAATGAACGAAGAAGTAAAGTATATCGAAGACAACAACACTTGGTCACTTGTCGAATTGCCTCAAGGCAAGAAGGCAATTGATGTCAAGTGGATATACAAAGTGAAAACGAATTCGAAAGGTGAAGTAACTCGACACAAAGCAAGACTTGTGGCGAAAGGATTTCTACAGAAATAAGGAATAGACTTCGATGAAGTTTTTGCACCTATTACTAGGATCGAAACAATCGGGTTGGTTGTTAGTCTAGCAGAAATAAACAGTTGACACATATGTCAGATGGACGTGAAGTGTGCATTCCTAAATGGACCCTTTGAAGAAGAAGTTTATGTTAAACAACTAGTTGGGTTTGTGAAACATGACGAAGAAAGAAAGGTGTACAGGCTGCATAAAGCCTTATATGGATTGAAACAAGCTCCAAGAGCTTGGAATAAGAAAATTGATAGTTTCCTAAGGGAGAAGGAATTTGTAAAGTGCACAACTGAACATGGAGTATATGTAAGAAGAAGCAATAGTGAATTGCTTATACTATGTCTCTATGTAGATGATTTGTTGATAACAGGTAGCTGTAAAAGTGAGATCGAAGACTTCAAAGGTGATCTCAGCAAGGAATTCGAAATGTCTGATTTGGGTGAGATTTCATATTTTCTTGGAATCGAATTCTACAAGAGCAGTAGAGGTTTGATGATGCATCAAAGAAGATATGCAGGAGAAATTCTCAAGAGGTTTGAGATGGAAGAATGCAACTCAACTTCGACACCTGCAGAACCAAGACGGCAACTGTCGAAAGATGCAGATGAAGATGATGTTGATCCAACCCAATACAGAAGACTTATTGGATCATTAAGATATCTTTGTCATACAAGGCCTGACTTAGCATACAATGTAGGTATGGTAAGTAGATTTATGCAGAAGCCAAAGGTATCACATCTATCAGCAGTAAAAAGGATACTGAGGTATCTCAAAGGAACTTTCGATTATGGCATTTTGTTTCCTGCAGCTGATAAAGGAAAAGAATGCAAGTTAGTGGGATATACTGATTCAAGTTGGTGTAGTGATGCTGAAGATCGAAAATCAACAGCAGGATATGTGTTTATGCTAGGTGGTGCACAAGTTGCTTGGAATTCAAGAAAGGAACCAGTAGTGGCATTATCATCATGCGAAGCAGAATACATAGCTGCTTCTCTTTGTGCATGTCAAGCAACTTGGATGGTGAACTTGGTCGAAGAGATAACAGAGAAAGATCATGGAGCAATTACCATGAAGATCGACAGCATGTCAGCTATTAATCTGGCAAAGAACCCAATAGCACATGGTCGAAGTAAGCACATCGAAATGAGGTTCTATTATCTTCGAGAGCAGGTAGCAGACGGGAAGATGAATTTGAAACACTGCAGAACTGAGAATCAGATTGCAGACATCATGACCAAGGGAGTGCAAGTCGAAATATTCAGAATACTAAGAGTCATGATGAACATAGATAGTTTAGACACAATGACTTAGATGGTGTGTTAAATTGTAATTCAGTGTGTCGAAATTATGTGTCGAAAAGATTTGGTTTGTTTTAGATTTAAATAGATTTGATTTCAGTCTAGAATAAATTATATTTGATTTAGTAACAAAAAGATATTTTGGGCTTTGAGCTTAGGGTGTAAGTTCAGTTATAAATAGAGGGAGTAACCCCTATTTTTGTAAGCAAGTCAAGCAAGTTGTATTTACAGAATTTGCAGTTGCAAGTGAATAACAAAGTTTTCACAGTTTGTGAACAGAGAGAAACTCTGTAGAAATTAATTGTCTTATTTTATTTGTTTTTCTCATAACTAATCGTCATTAGAGTAGAAATTCATCATAGTCTTTTGGTGGATTTCCAAGACATATCTTGTGCTAAGCACAAACGTGCAAGAGCATCCATATATGCAATAACCAGATGCTACTAATTTGTTACTAGGTTCCAATGCATCTTCAATTGTAACAATATTTTTATCCTTCACCATGCAAATACCAAAACTAATTCCTATAGAAACTCCACACTAAATATTTGAGAATCCATCCAAAAGATCAAAGACAACAATTTATTTTCCATGTTGTGATGGTGACACAATGATAGCATATTCATTCTCTGCAGAAACAAGAAGGCATGTTCTTTCACTACTGATTAAGACTTTCACAGATACTTCAAAAGAATTCACATCCAATTTAAGCACTTTTATTTGCAACATAAAGCTTTCTCTAACAAACTCCATAAAGGATCCTCCAAAAGATGCTTCCACAAGGCTTGAAACAATCTTGAATTCTGTCTCCAAATTAGGCCCATAGTATTTGAATGACACTAATTTCTCAGCAAATATTTCAACTTTTGTCAACTCCAAACATCTTACCAACTCTAAACATTCCAACTTCAATGATGAACCTGAAACTGAAACCTTCATAGTTTTCGAAACTTCAGAATCAACCAAACTCAATGTTTCAAGCAACAGACAAGTACACAGTAAATACTCCAGCATCTCTTCGGTGACACTAATCGATTTCATACGCAAAACACATAAAGAATCAAATCTCTCAACCTTAAAAAGTTCCAACGGAAGAACATAATCGATTGCACGACCGAAATACAGTTTAAGCATTCGAACTTTTTTACAAACTGCAAATTGAATCCAGTTATCAACATCAGAAACATTTTTCACGGGAAACCAAACCTTCAATCCTCGTAGAGACGAACTTTTAAGCGAAGCTAACAATTCATTGATCCAATTCGTATATGTTTGTCTCTCAGCATCATACATGATTTCCATAGCCATTTGCAAACTTCTTCCTGTAATCTTCTTCATATCTTTCTTCATGTCTTTCGTAATAGGCGAACAGTTGAATTCTAATGTCCCGAAAAAATAAGTCCATAGATTTTTCCATTTTATTGAGAGGATGCTTGTTCTAACAGCTTCATGGATTTGTAGTTTTGATAAAATGTTTAAGGAATTCCTTCTGGTAATTGGTTTATGACATCTTCTTCATTGTTGGATTTTGGTCTATTTTGTTTATCATTTCCATCTTCCACGATCCTTTGGAATTCACTTTCTCCACAACATAAAAACCCAGTAACAATCTGATCAGGTGGTTTCGGCGGAATCACAAAATTAATATCATCATGAACATAATTTTCAACTGAATAATGAGAATTGGAATCTCCAAAATACTGCTTTACAACAGTCCCATTAGAAGATTATGTATCCATCACCCTGGGTGAAGCAGTCTTGTGCGAGGAATAATTACCAACATTTCTATCAAATGACATTGACGTTTTCGGTACATGACTAAACAATCAGCTTTTGAAGCATTATCATCAAAGCTTTTTTTGTCACCCTTCTCTGTTTCAGTATAATTCCCATCAGAATGACCATATTTTGACTGCCCTGGGTAGCTCTGGTCCAAACCTAAAAGCCCAACAATTGCAGCAATGCATGTAAGTGCAAGAAGGAGAAGTTTGATTTGGAGAGAATTTTCGTCATACCCATCAACACCTGAACCAATTGCATCAGTGTTGTTAACCTCAATAGTCTTTCCATTTGAAGTCGTGAGAATGTCTCCAGGTCGCATACATGTTCTATTAATCATATTCTCACAAGCTGCAACGACATCCAAATAGCCAACATCAACTCTCCCTTAACTTTATCCATAACCCACACCAGGTCAAAAATACAATGAGGCATATGTATCTCACCACATTTATAGTACATATTGATCAATGACTTTGAAACCACTCCACAAATACCTCTCCTAACAGCATAACCATGAATCACACGACCCTCTTGCAGCACCACAGATTTCCCGCTAACGTAATGCAATTCAGAAGCATCTCTTGTTGCTGCATTGTGGAAGCAATCTTGAAAGCACCATAAGCAGAGGAATCACCAGAGTGAGCATAAGCGTTGATAATGGAAGTGTAAGCAACAATATCTGTGTTAGTAATTTCATCCAACATCTTATGTGCATATTTTGTTTTCTACGTGTGTGAGTTATTTCAATATTTGAAATAACATCAGGGAATTTTGGTGGAACTTCATAATCAGCATCATCAGAGGGTGTAAGGTTGTGGGTAGGTGCGTAAATCTGAAGTTTTGAATCCGTTGAGATTAGCGGCGACCGACTGGATGTGAGAGGAGGTTTGGGTGGTCCTGGGTCATATGGTTCGGTGTTAGGGATCAGAGCATCCACTACAGTGCTGGATAGTATTGCATCAGTCAGAAACAACAATAACTCATCATCAACGTCATAAGAGCTCAAATGGGTTGGCTTTGATGGTGGTGGTGAAGTGAAACAACGCTTCAACTCTGAATCTGACTCCCCCAAAAACAGTGGTTGTTGGGTTTCATACAGATTGAGTTGCTCAGTTGTGTTCAACATGTTCAGAAATTGGATCTATGGAGTCTATTAATTCATAAGTTGGTTCCATTTCCTCATCTAAATCTTGAAAAAGGTGTCTCCATTCAGGTTTGAAATGTCAAATAAATACATCTGCAAACATATTTCAGGACATCGATGAATGAGATTGGGAGCGTCATTTTCATCATTTGAGAGCACGACCTCTCATTTCGATTTCAACCGCTTTCATCTTCACCTCATCTTCGACAATATTTTGGCTCTGAAATATTCCTCAGTGAAAAGGATCCACCAATATACTTCTTCTACTCTATAAAAATTTCATAAATGGCATCACATATTTCATTTAGTGGGAATGAGATCAAAATAAAAACACCAATTGATAGAGTGTTAAAGCTAAAACCCTAACAAGATTAGAGAAAGCTAGAAATTAAAAGACAATAAAAGATAATTAAAAAAAATAAACTTCATTTCATTTGATTGATACCCTAAAATGTGTCAAATACACTATATATCTAATGATATTAATGGATCATTAATTAAAAATACCCAAATACAAATAAAGCTCAATAATCATACTAATAATATAAGTTCAATTATTACTTCCTATTAATAACAATACTAATAATATAAGTTCTATAGTACCCTTCTATCAATATTGCATTGTGCCAATTGGGTGTTAAGCAAGCGACACAAAGATGACTCATTAGCTATGTTCAATGTAGATTTCTCGAATGTTTTCAACATGGTAGACCGATCAACTCTATTGCGCGAGGTAAGAGTGAGATGCCCATTAATTTTTGTGTGTGTTGAGTTTCTTTATGGACAAGCAACAAGGTTGTATCTTGGAGATGGACATATTATGTTAGCCACCAGAGTGAAACAAGGTGACCCGTTAGGACTGCTCTTTTTTGCTCTTGTGTTATACCCACTCATTCATCATGTTAGAGACAATTGTAAGCTTTTTTTTCATGCATGGTATCTTGATAATAGGACTATTATAGGGGATTTACAGGAGGTGTCTAAAGACCTTGGTATCATTCATGAGACATGTATAGGTTTAAGTCTCGAATTGAATACTTGTAAGACTGGTATCTTTTGGTCATCATGCGATGGTAGTAAACTTCTTAAGGATTTGTTCTCGCCGAACATTAGGAGGCTGATATTGGGGATGAAGTTGCTTGGAAGGGCTGTTAGTCGAGATGCCGACTTTATTAAGGAGTTGTCCATGAAGAGAGCTACCAAGGATATTGATTTAATGCACATTCAATCATAACTAAGGGATCCTCATAGTGATCTTCTTCTACTTCGATCATGCATGGGTATTATCAAATTATCTTTTGGCCTAAGAACGTGTCAACCAAATCATATGCATGAAGTAGCTATTGGATTTGATAAAGAGTTGCGAAGGGCGGTTGAAGATATTGTGGTTGGTGGAGGTCCTTTCTTTGGGAACCTTCAATGAAGGGTGGCTTTTTTACCTGTTAGAGTTGGGGGTTTGGATTTGTACTTAACAATAAAGGCTACCTCATACGCTTTTCTCGCTTCTATGGCCCAATCTTGGGTGTTACAGGACCATATATTAAGAAACAATGGGGTGTATGGTATGCACTCTGATTTTGATAAAGCTTTGGATGATCTTAGTCTTGCGATTCCAAATTTTAACCTTAGTAATTTTACTAACAAGGACACCGTCCCTCCTAAAGCATAACATGTTTTGGAGATTGTCTTATTTAGTAAAAATATTAAGGACATGGATGTAAAGCTTGGCATGACCACAAGGTAGAAGGTAATTTTTAGTTGTTTGCAAGCAACACATGCTCAAGACTTTTTCCTTATTAATCGTATTGATGGGTTATGCCAACATATGTCACCAGTGGAGTACCGTACTATCTTAAAATATGGCATTGTAATTCCTTTATTTCCTATTGATGAGGTTTACCGTGTTTATTGTAAGGCGTGTTTGGATACATTTAGAGAACATGTGATTCACTTTAGGAAGCTTCCATGCTTCAAATACCGACATGATCTTATTAAGGATGTCCTATTTGATATATTTTGATGTGTCGGATTATCTATGAAGAATGAGGTTTTTGTGAATTTTTAACTGACCCACTTGAGGGAAGATTCACACTTAGGCCAACAAATGTTCTGGTGTACGGGTGGGTAGGAGGGAAACATGCTTGTGTGGACTTGACTGGAGTTTCTCCACTTGTGGAATTAAGGGCTAGTGGTTTTACCGTGAGACAAACAGCTCTCAAAGTTATTTCAAGTAAAATGATCTGTAACACCCTTTAACCTCACATAAATACATATGGCGTAATGAAATTAAAATCATGCATAAACCAAGAGGGCGTCACAAATACATCACGACAACAACATAAATACACTGCATACTGGTCATGATCATAACACATATTTAAATTCACATTTCATACACCAACACAAAATGCATCTTGCAGCCGAATAATTATCTCTTCATAAAGATATTAATGATTGAAATTCTATACTGACAATCATATCATAAAGTACTAGGCATTGAGACCAATCATCACATAATCTTATACATCACCAAATAAAAGAGAGTAATAACAAATATCTCTCAAAACAAATCAAAACATGAGTTCAAATATCCCTCGTGTTACATAGACCAGAGAAATGACTCGCTACCTAAGAATAAACAGATAAATAAGGATCTAGCTCCTCCAACTAATCCTCGCAAGTAGCACCGCTATCTTTGGTACCTGAGCGGTGTCGTATAAACCATCATTCTAACAGAAGAGTGAGAATTCAAAATCATTATAGGAAAGTAGAATAATAAGTAACGTGCAACATACATACAACAAATGAATTAATCACACTTCACATAATCATGTATTCGACATAATATAATCCAACATACAAGTTCACATATACAACATAGCTCATCACTTCATATTTCAATTGAAAACAATCACAATTCCCACAATTGTATTCAAGTAATTCAGTTATCACGTATCACACATCAATGCACGACATTCAACTTCAACACATGTGACTCGGATGCAACTCTATCCAATATGCATGTGGTACCAAACTTTCCAGATTCTTTCACAAGACCATAACCACAAAATATGAACATATAGTTCAAATCATTCCAGATCCCCACCATAGGACCAAAATTACCAAGTGGGCATGAGCCTCCCATGAATGCATTTTCAAAATAAAGAATATATGCAATTAATACCATCACCAAATCTTAATCATACAAACTTATCTCACATAATTCAACATATTTAAATTATCTTCACCAATTTGCACACATGCACGCATCACGGAATTAATCACATACAACGCATATTCATGGTATTTATCACATCAATACACCACAATAACATATAGAGATAAAAGCTAATCCATGTTACTCTCATTCATGACCAATTCATAACATACATGCATACAATTCAAGTATCATGTTTCCCACCAAAAGCCATCCAAAATCAATCTAAAACACATCGAATAAATTATTAAAATTCATGTAAATAAATGATAAATCATAATATACAAGACCCCCATCATATTTAACAAATAAATATATTTCTGCACCCAGACAACCGCGTTAAGCTCCCCTACCCACGCTAGGCGCCCTTCAAATTATGTAAAAATATATGCTACGAGACAGTTCTATCTTGTTACAGATTTTTCCCTCAAATCATGTTCTAACACTCATTTTTCACCAGTTAAATATATTATGGCAGGTATATATCATATATCATCCATTACTAACACAAAAACATGATTCCCAAACATCAATTCAAGATTCCCAATTCAAACCTAAGTGTATCAAAACCTAGAATTGAAATTGAAATTCCTAACTCCTACCACCACCCATTACATGTTATCATACAATCCCACAATGATAAGAAACTTCACACCCTTACCTTAGATGTAGACACTTTAGAGTTTTTCCTTCTCTTTTCCTCTTTTCTCCTTTTCTTCGCTTCTCTTGTTTTACGATACCAACTCTAATCCTCTTTGTTAGATAACACCTTACTAACCCTTGTTTTCTCTATTGGGCTTATCTCACTTACCCCCTAATGTAACATATAAGGCTCAATGCTAAATAATTGCTATTATTACTCATAAACCCAATTATTCAAATAACGCATATATTCAAATAAATCAAGTATTCACCAAATCACACAATTTAATTAATTACTATATAATATAATAATTAATAAATAAATAATTAAATAGCAAATAAAATTGGGGTGTTACAACTCTCCTCCACTTAAAAGATGTTCGTCCTCGAAAATCACCTCAAACGAATAACTCATGATAAGACTCCTTCATCTGGCTCTCGAGTTCCCAAGTCACGTTGACACTCGTTGGTCCTCCCCAAGCTACCTTCGCCAAGGTGATCTCTTTACCACAAAGTTGCTTCACCTTTCTATCTTCAATCCTCATAGGTGATGTTTCAACGGTTAAATCATCTCTCACTTGAACATCATCTAATTGGACAACATGAGATGAATCTGCAATGTATCTCCTCAATTGAGACACATACATCATATGGATTAGCAAGTGATTGCGGCAAAGAAATCTTAGCCAATTCTCCTACTTTCACGAAAATCTGATAAGGACCAATAAAATGTAGCATCAACTTACGCGACTTCAACGCTCAACAGACACCTGTTACCAGAGTAACTCTAAAAAACACATGATCTCCCTTCTCAAACTCAAGTGCTTTCTTCCTTTTATCATGATAACTCTTCTGACGACTTTGAGAAGCCTTCATCGTCTCTTGAATCATCTTAATCTTATCCGTAGTCTATTGAACTATCTCGGGTCCAACCATAACACTCTCTCCAGATTTGTACCAACACAAAGGCGTCCTACACCTTCTACCATACAAAGCCTCAAACGGTGTCATCTCAATACTAGAATGCAAATCGTTGTTATAAGTAAAATCAATTAAAGGCAAGTAATTATCCCAAGCACCTCCTTCTTCCAAAACACAAGCTCTCAAAAGATCCTCAAGCGAC